GAAGTCATATTAATAAATATCACAAAATAAAACATATTATAAACTTGAAAGTCCCATGGTCTTCATAAATTCAATTTAAAAGTTCAGTCTCTTCAAAATATCCAAAGTCTCTAAATATCCTAGTCTCTCTAAAAATGCAAAATCTCATTCAGAGTTTAAAGTGTCTTAATTTTGGGCTCCTGTAAAATCAAAATTAGTTAAATTTCTCATTTCAATGGGCAATCAGGGCATTCTCACAATCAAATAAAAAAAAAATCCAACAGTATGAAGATCAGTCTCAGACTTCTGAGATTCCTTCACAGTCTTCTGGGCTCCTCCAAAGGGCTTGGGGCCACTTCCCTGACCCTACCCTCCTCAGCACACATAGTACGATGTTATCCTAGGCTCAGGCCAGCTCTCTTCCATATGTGCCTCAGGCCTTGGCAGTAGCCCCATTACACTGGTATCTCCATAATACTCTAGTCTCCACTGAAATCAGGCTGTACTTAATAACAGTCTCTCCTAGGCTCTCTCCGGGGCCTGTAATTCTGCCACAGGATGCAAAGGCTCAGCTTTTCTCCAAGACCCCTTTAGTCCCAGGCCTTTTACTGTACTCAGGCTTCATAGTCACCAACGGTCTGTCCCAGCTTCTCTTCAGGTCTCCAGCCTAACTACTTAGTGCCAAATCTCAGATTCTTTCCATGAAACCTTCATGTCTTCAAAACCAGTACCACATGGGTGACTCTTAAAATTCCAAGTTTGGCTTCCAGCACAAGGTACAACCTTCCCTACCTTTGGATCACAGCCTCCATGTGCTAACCCCGAGGAAACACCTCACAGAAGATTCTGCCTCAGTGATGCTGATATCTTTTCTTAATCACAGCTGATTCTCTAGTCCTGGCTGAATAGCATCCATTGACCCAGCAAAGCTAAAGATTTACTTCAGTAGTTCTGGGGAGCTTCTTCATCACAGCTGATTATTCAGCTCCTACTGACCAGGCACCACAAGGTCTTAACAAAAAATGTCACATAAATACCCCAGGAGAGTCTTGAAGGAACTCTAAAAATTTCCTTCTGAAGCTTCACACGCCAACAGTCTGCATCACACTCTCAACATTCTTGCCTTCCAAACTGCCACAGAATAGCCCACTGAGCTCTGAGCAGGCAATTGCTTTTCCAGTCCAATGCTCCAAAACCCTTCCAAAATCCTGCCCCAAACACTGTCAGGTCTGTCAGAAAAACACTATAATGTCTGGTACCATTTCTTGTCTTAGTTAGGGTTTCTATTGCAGTAATATAATACCTTGGGAGGAAAAATGTTTATCTCAACTTAGAGCTTGTGATTCAGCATCATGGTGAGGAAAGGCAGGAACTGGTGCAGAGGCCACAGAGTGCTGCTCATTAGCTTGTTCCATGTAGCTTGTTAGAACCATGTGATGGTACAGACCACTGTGGGTGTTGTTCCACTACATCAATCAGTCAATCAATCAAACAAACAAACAAACAAAGATGCAAAGATGTACTACAGGCTTGCCCACAGGCCAAGTAAGGAAATATTTGTATCTGCAGTCCCTTCCAAAATGATTCTAACTCACGTTAGGTTGACCCAAAACTAGCCAGCAGGACTTTGTGACTGAAAGGCTGCTGACAAAAGCAGCACAGTAAGTGGACTCTGTGACCTATGTGAAATGTGAGTCTCTTGTCCAAAGGTGCCCAGGTCATCTGGCAGCCATAATGACATGCTTATGAGAAGTCTGGGAGTCTCTGAGGCATTTACTTTAAGTTTAATGGAATGACACTTCTTGAAGAAAGGTTGCCGTTATGTTCAGAAACCCAGTGGGTACCAGGGTGATGGGAAGAGCTAGAGTAGCTGGCTGTTAGGAAGTTCTGTGCTGAGTTAATGTATTACCATCATCTGCTTCCTAACCTCATTTGTGTCTCCAGCTGCCAAGGAAGGTTTTGCATCTAACCACAGGAAGCTTGCATCTGGACACCAGCTTTCTTACGGCTTTTACATACATATATCATATCCACTTAGAAAGGCCATGAATCCATTCAGCTTTAGCTGTGGCAGTGTTTTATAATAGCTGATGACTATATATTTATATGAATATTTTCTATGTATGTGTATGCACATATGTGGATCCCTATGTTTCACTTTGAATCATTTTTCCTTAACCTAATTCATTTTTATTTAATCCTACTGAAGATTTATTGGAGTTTAAATAGAGACTATTATATATGAATGTCTACCAAAAAGTAGGCATCCAGGGACTAAGATGTAGCTCAATAGTAGGGTACTTGCCTACCATATGGAAGAGCCTGTATTCAATCTCCAGCAAAAATACAGCATTAATTAATAGTAGTTAGTCACAGTCTTTCTTTTAGGGGAGGGCGGTAATGACTTCATTAGCAGTTGTGGGTTTTACTTAATTTACATATTTAATCTCAAATATAACACCTTTAATTGCTTTGAGTGGAGAATATATTACTGTAGATCCTTAATGTTTTCGAAGACTAGATCTTACCACTTGTAAACTGCACTTTTTGATAACCATTCCGGTAAAAGCATGATAATATATTACCATATGCTCTAAAACATAATTCCATAAATACAATGAAAGAAAACTGTGTATCGGTGTCTGTAGCCTCGAGCTCACCCAACCTCATGGTCAGTTTCTGTAGGTAAAAATGGAGTGGATGCTACTTCTCTCATCTCTGTGAAGAAACACCTTCAAGGAGGAAAGACTAACTTTGGTTCTATTTTCCCTCATTGTTGTGAACTGTTTTTCAGATGAGTATTGCTATGAAGTACTGGCTGGCCCTGAACTCCTTAATTAGAGTAGACTGGCCTGAAACTTGTGGTGATGCTCATGCCTCTGCCTGCTGAGTGTTGGGGAAGGATCTACTTTGGCTCATTACTGCAGAGGGATTTCAGCCCCTTATAGTGATGAAGGCATAGAAGAGCTCATGCTAGTGAGAGTATAGATGAAAAGATTGCTTTGGAGATGGTACTTATCAATTAAACAAGAATTGTTTATAAAGGTCTTGATGCATTATAACTACTGTGAACTATTACCCATTGGCCAAGTTTTCCAATCCAATGTCACATTACAGTGATTTCAGAAGAAAGTTTTGAAGTGTTTCAAAAGAGTTATGATCATGATTTTTTTTATTTTCTTTTTATCATTTACCATGTGTTTAGAAAACACCAGAAACAGTAACACAGTTTAACCTCTGTCATTTTGGCCTTGTAATTTGCTATTAGTAATCTTGTATTTGAAGATATCTCAGTAACAAAAGTTGGGCTGTCTGTTTTAACTTTCTTTTGTATAATATCTTAATTCTAGTTCTTATCATTGTCTTATCAATGATGTCACTCAAAACTGCAGTCAATATTAATCCAAAAGCCCCCTGCCACATGGAATTCAATCATCGGTTAACTTTCCACCCACCCTCCTTTGCCAAGGTTTGCAATTGCAATATAATGTTAAACATCTTTTGTCGCCTTGTGTTTTGTTCTGTGTGAGATAGGATCTTGCTCTGTACCCCAAGATGACTTGGAACTCAGATCCTCTTTCCTCAGCCCTCTGAACTAAATCACATGGTGTGGGTCAACATATGTCCTTGTGTTCCCACACACGATCCCAGGCTGCCACCAGATCCTGTGATCAAAGGATAACATGGGAAATGGGGATGCTGACATTTGCACTCTGAAGAGGCTGCCCAAGAAGGGATTAGCTACAAATATGTCAAGAGCTCCTATGTGATAAATTTAGTCCTTCTCTGACTCATAAGCAGGTTCCTCAGGGAGCTTTGGGGGTACCAGAAATCTTATTTGAAGTGATGTGGACATTTGTTATAAATTATGATCCGGAAGAAAATACACTTCACATCTTGAAATGGGTAAATTAGAAAGAAATTAATCAAATTATGAAATCAGAACTTAATTTATGGTAGCATTGATTGCCATTATCACAAAATGGATAAAATACAAGCCAGAGAGTTTGAGTCTTATCCACTGTCACTGGCTGAATCTCACACTTACTATTCTTTCTCCTACATTAAAATCTAAGGAACAATGCTAACTCTGGTGAACTCCTGATACCAAAAGGGAAAATAAAATGGTAATATGTTCATGTATTTCACTAAATTCCTGAATTCAAAATTGTACATGGCAAGCTGGCCCAGTGATTCACACCTAAACCCTAGCACCTGTCAGTCAGGCTGGGAGGTAGGAGGGTTAGGACTTCAAGGTTAGCCCTAGTCACATGCCTTAGAGTCCCTGCCTGGGATTTATGAGATGCTGTCTCAAGAAAAATTTACATTTGAAAATGACTGTCAAGTAAATCCAAACATATTTACTGATTTTAAGAGTCATTTTTCTGTCGGGATTATTTATTCTCATAGCAGTGGATGGCTTTTCTTTCCCCGCTAAGGAGTGAGGTAATCCCCATGCTCACAGAGCTTCCTGATTATCTTTCAGTCAGAACCTGGGAGAGCTGTGGGTGGCCTTGTACTTCACTGTTGCTTTTGTGTCTACAGCACATTTACAATTCATAACACACATACAATAGTCTTGGAAGTCAACTTGGGGAATTCCCGGTTGAGACAGTCACTACATGTGTAACTAGAGAAGTTTGCAAGGATTTAGAATAGTCTGGGCAGCAGGCTATGTATGTGGCACAGCTGCTTCTGGGGTGCATTCAAAACCCTACCCACACAGATACTTTCACAACTGAGTTACACAACTACGTCAACTCAGTTTGTACAGACAAAGTTCCTGCCTCAAACATCACCACAATGAGTTGTCATCTTTTCACTTTACTCTCACACTAATTGTGTGGCTAGCTGAATTCTGGTTCCCATATACCCCATAATCTTACACCACTACGGTGTAAACCACATACTAAAACCACAACTGCCAACCCTATCACAGTATTAAAATGAAACTTCTCAGCTTTGGCATCTTATTAATGAATCAGTTTTATTTTTCCTCATTTCAACACAAGAAACACTCATAAACTCAACAGTTTTAATTAAAGATCTACCACCCCAACCTTTACCACAATGCCTACCAGATATTGAGTGTAAAATTATGATTACATTTCTGTGTTACTACATGACAATATTGGACAATCCCTAAATCAAGTTCAGGCTCCTTATATTTCTAGTTTCCCTGAGCCCTGTGTGACTTAAGTTTTCCTTGGGCTATTTTTGTACTTAGTCTTACATCTTACTCCATTTTACTCATAGTTATTCACAGAACTTCCAGAACACCCCACAGTCATTGATCTCAATTAAGCCATGCACCTGCACATTCAGGAGCAGGCTGCAATTTCAGTGGCATAGTAGATGATTCACTGGATGCACAGCAGGCTGAGCGATCTGAAAGCATTAAAATCACAGAATTCGAAAGCCTGCATTAGGTCCTATAACAAATTAGCCTCACTTTCTAAATACTTTCTTTTCAATCTTTGAGATTAGTTACATCATTTCCCCCTTTCTTTTCTTTGCTCCAATATTTGCATGTATTTCACTGCTTTTGCTTTCTTCCAAATTCATGGCTTTTTAAAATTTAATTGTGTTTGTGTATGTGTCCATACATGTAAATAAATACATAAATGCAAACTGCTTTGTCCATGTGACTTGTGTGTACGATCTCAGGACTGATGATTTGGTTTTGGATATCCAATCTGTGTGTGCTTCCCTGGGGAAGATGATATTTCTCCAACTCACAACATCCCCACTGTCTAGGGTTGAGGTGTCCTAAATTTCCCATCTGAATTAGCATGTATATTGATGCCATCCTGAGGGTACACATTATTTTAAGTTTAAATTACCCAAAGGTTTTGGCATATCCAATGAATTCTACAACATCCACCTTCACATATTAAATGGTCTTCACATATTTTAGGCGATTGAACTCAAAACCTGGAATCACTCTGAGAAATGGAGAGAAGTGATACCCTCCAAATATGTGGTTCTTTGATCAGGATTATAGTATATCTGAATTATTTTAGCCTTTTCCCTACAAGCGCTTGAATTCTGAAAGAAGTGAGACATCCTTTAATCAATTTTGTGCCTCTCTCTGACAGGATGCTTGATCAGGATCATTGATCATACAGTGTCAGGTGTTCTTCGAAACCCGAGCTGTACTGACAGGGAAGAATTTGAAATTAAATGCAGAGGAGTTCGTTTGTTCCTCCTGGAGGACATGTTTTCATGACCGTGTTTCTGGTACACTAATTAGGTTATCAATCTAGGATTACAGGCAGAGAATGAAACAGTAACACAATTTAAACCCAGAGGTATTCAAAGTGAGGAAACAACTGTCTAATGTATATTCTCATGTCTTTCCCTCCCCACAGTTAAGTCTCAAATTAAAACCTTAAAAGGCAGGGAATAATTTACCTATAGCACTAAGCAAGATCATATTAAAGCTCAACTACCTTATGAGCCAGGGTCAACATATAATGACCAATGTGCATCACATACGCTGAAGCCTGTATATAAATCCACTCAGCTATTGAGACACACAGTGCACCTGTAATTTCTACCAATATAATTATATTAATTTGCTACAGCACGATTTTTGACATTAATATAAAATTTCCTAATTGCATGATGACATGTCACACCAATTAATGGATTCTGGCCATGCAAATCAAACTGCAAGTTACATTGACATTGTTGTTACATCAGTGGCACACACAGTTAATCCACAATATTCTCTGGGCAATGTCAGATGCTAAGGGTAGTTGTTTGAATCAGAAGGGCCCCCGTAGGTCCATGTTTGAATGTTTGCACCCTAATTTGTGGAACTGCTTGGGAAGTATTAGGAGGTATGGCCTTGTCAGAGGAGGTGTGTCATTGGGGTGGGTTTTTAGGTTTCAAAAACCCATGCCAGGTCCAGTCTCTCTGCCTGCTGCCTGTGCAGCAGTATACAAAGCTGTTAGCTATTGCTCCAGCACCAGGCCTGCATGCTTCCGGCCAAAATAAGGGACTAACCCTCTGAAACTGTTACAAAGCCCCCGTGAAATGCTGTCTTTTATAAGTTGCCTTGGTCATGGTGCCTTTTCATAGCAATTGAACACTAACTAAACAGGTAAGTTTCAGAACATTCTTATATAGCTTTTCTTTTCTTAATAAGCATCTACACTACCTCTTGAACAAGCTGTATACTTTTTGTTTCCTGGTTATGATCTAGAAAAAGGGAATTTGTTAAAATCTAGCCTTCAGTGACTCTGACTTTCTTTGGAAATGGGGCTTTATAGCAGTAATCAAATTGAGATCATTAGGGTGGTCAAAATTAAGAATCACTGGTACCTTTAGAGAAAAAATTGGACGAAGACATTATCACACTTAGAGCAAATGAAGATGGAGACACAGAGGAAATGGAGGCAAATGGATCAGTGTGGACCGCCAGAAACCACCATGATGAAGATATTGAAAGCATTCATTATGTCTTGTGACACCCCCTCATTCCAACTCTAATTCTTTCCTTACCTCTCCTCCCAAGGTATCACCTCTTTTTGGACAACATGGACTTACTGTACAAACTGCCAGAATTATTCATAAGAAACAAACGGGTAAACAAAAATACTCAAACCTAGGAGTAAATATAAAAAACAAAAACAAACAAACAAAAAGATTCTACCTGTAAAACTCTTCATAAGGGACCCATTTAAGCAGAACAGGGAGGTAAATGCAAACCAGGCTCTCTTCATACCTCTGTTCATGACTGTGCCACACTTCAGCCATGTGACTATTAATCACAAAGTTTTAGCAAACAGAACTAACTTATCCCAAGTATGTATGATGCAGATTTTCAAACTGGAAATGTAGTGCACAAGCCTTCAGAAAAATTATATTTTCAAAATAGACTATCTGGGGAGAAGTTTTGGGACTCAAGTCAATATCAGACAGAAATGGAACAAAGGCTTGTATTTTTCTAAATAAATAAAAAAAAAACCCTGCCATATTTCAGCAATTATCTATATAATTTATGTCACTTATTTTGTGATCATTGTGTGTCTACTGGCTCAATTCCATCTTCTCCACCTATTCCTCACAATTCTTGGCAATTTAACCCTCATATGATAATATCTCTCTAACTTATTCTTTCTTATCTTCATGTTCCTCTTATCTCAAACATCATCTGTATCTTTTTTATTTTAAATCAGGCAGAATAAGGTAGATTGCACTGTGACAAAAAAAAAGAGAGATTTAATGAAAGATTGATTCCTGTCCATGAATGTATCCAACAATCTAATGTTTCCCAGGAAGTCCATCTCCTTGTAGTGGGTCAACATTCCAGGCTATTGAGTCTTGTTGGGAATTCTTCAGCAGCAGTTCAGGTTTGTTGCATTTCATTATGTCCGTCCTGAAGCTCTGTTAACAGGCTTCCCAACCAGTTGTCAATCTTAATTAGATTTCCTTCAATCCATACTCCTTAGCTCTCGAAGATATCATTATACCATGTCACTTCTCAAGATACAGTATTATCCCAGGACTTCTGACTCTCAGTGGATATGGTGTTCCAAGCCAAACCAGTATTTTTCTTTGTTCCTTATAAAATAAAAACATGCATGATACAACAAAGTTAAAGAGTTGATGATGTCAACCCTACCTTTAGTTGTTGCCATACTTCTTTTGTGGTCTTAGCCACTCTAGCCTCATAAGATGAACACAGAGAAGCACGAAAGCTACAGAATTCCAGTCTGATTATGGTCCACTGACATATGAATGCAATGGTCTCAGTGTGCCATTGGAATGGGTGGGCACTGTAAACCCAATACAACTACCATTAAGCTCTGTTTCAAGGCCAAGGTCCAGCCCCTGTATTCTTCATCTCAGCATAGAACCTGATCTCACTAGATCAGAATAAAGACACCTTGAAGTTCCCCTGCCATACAGTTCAAAGATTTCATGTTCACTCACTGGGGTAAAGCAGACCCTCAAACTACCCATAATCACATGATTTAATACCTTCCTGCCAAAAATATCTGGCTTAGATCTTAGTCATCTTTCAGCGGTGCTAAATGCATTCAGAAATCCTAAGTAACTCTTTTTCAAACATATTATCTCTGGTCTAATCTGTAGAGAAAAGGTAAAGTCGTCTTTGTAAATACAAATCAGGTCATATGTTCAAAGCTTTTCGCTGAAATGTTTCTCACAGACTGGCTCAAATCCAGTGTCCTACAAGCTTTGTCATCAAGGTCCACCTATTAACTCTCTCTATAGTTCCTTTTTCACATAGGATGATGGTCATACTATTTCCTTAATAAACCCCTTTCATAGACTCCTTTATGGAAGCTAGTCAGACAGATCCATGTAACTCACATAGCTCAGTCCTCATTCTGTGGCTTTTTCGTTTCTGTTTTTCATAGTGCAGGATTATCTTCCTCTAATTATTAATGTACTTTCATAACAAACACTACCCTGTGGGAACTCCCCTTCCCCCTGGAATACTGTTCCTTCCCTGATGTATTTTCACTCAGAACTTTTGTTATTACATTCAGTTCACTATCTGTGCCAGAGTGTCAATGGTGTGATGCTGAAGAAGGTGAAAACTTTGGCGTGCTTGATTTCCACTTAGAAAGTTGTGGTTAATGAGCTCCTCGTATAAGGAGATGAACTAGGAGGAAACAGAGACAGAGAAAATAGCAATAAAGGGGAAAAACATACTTTGTAATATTATTTTGGCCAAGATTTGCATACTTGAATCCATTTTTTTAAGCTATAAATTACACACAAAAGTTGATAAAGAGCCTAAAAACTGCCTTGTGCTAATACTTAAGAATTTAACAGGTTCAACTTCATTTCTCAGTATTTATTTTGGAGGGGGCTTTCCAGTATTATAAAAAGAAAATAAATTTAGGGAAGAGAAAAAACTTTCTTATATGACTTGAGTAACACTTCAGAAACTATATTTTCATCCGTATCATTTTTTATAAATTGCTAATTGCCAAAGTATTTGCTGTTGTCATTCTGTATGTGACTGCCAAGTGAACACATCCCAGACTCTGAATTAATGGACAAGTTTGGTATGAACAAGCAGAGGCGGCCTTCATTCATGCAGTAGAGCCTAGCTAACAGTGTTGGTAAGACCTTGAAATCCCACACTCCTGGCTTTTGTTAATAAGCTCGATTCCCCAGTCATATCCCCAGCAGGATATGGCTGGCCAAGTAAGTATCAGGACAGTTGCTCAGTGGGTGGATTTAACTTTGGGCTTTATAGCTTCATCTCCATCACCGAGTGGCTTGGCAGCATTGATTTCTTTTATCAGGGTGATCTATTAATGCAGTGTAAAAGGTCAAACTTCACCCAAGTTAGTGTTTTCCACCTTATAGAGAAAAATATTTTCAATTGTGACAGTAAATTCTCTCACAGATCACACACCAGAGGGGAATCATTTCAGTTTCTGCCTTATCAGACCTTACAGATTTCATATTTTCAGAACTCTGGGAGCAATTCAGGTAACTACCTGCAGTCAAGCCAGCCTCTCTGAGTCAGCCTTTATTGTATAGGGTATCGCAGAAGCTTTTTGTTTTTAGTGTGTGTGTGTGTGTGTGTGTGTGTGTGTGTGTGTATACACTCCTCTCTGAGAAAGTCTCACTCTGTAACCCAGGCTAACCTGGTACTTACTACACAATTCAGGAAAACCTTAAGCTAATAGTGAGTCTCCCGTCTCAGCCTTCCAAGGATAAAGCTTATGGGTATACAACCTCATATCTATTGTTTTCAAAAAGAGAAGTCAAGGCACACTCAAGAGTGGGCACTTGTTTCTCCTAATACGAATGATGAGTGCTGAGGTTAATATGAGAAAAGGAAAAAAAATGCACTTCACAAAATAAGACACAATGAGAGCTTTGGGAAAGTCATCCTATTACTCTTAGCAGCTTACTAAATTATATAACTGACAAATATTCAGCTTTATAATAGTATCCTCTTGCACTGGAGCCAGTTTACATAGGAAGCTGGAGTCAGAATTTTACATCTAAATTCTGGCATCATTACCCACCTAGTCATTTTGAAGAGATTATGCAATACCTGAGTTCAGCTACCTTCACTATAAACTACCTTAAGTTTTGACTTATTAGTAGGTAAAAATGAATGTAATGTGATGGCATAATATTTCACAGAAATAGGTATCTGAGAAAGCTACTGTACACATTAGTGACACTAAAGAGTCTCACTATAGCTTGTGTCAAAACCAAAACAGCATGCAGCAGGGGGTCACGCTGGTTTATGGATCAGTGTCTTAGTCAGTGTCTTAGGATAAGGAGAACAGCAGGCCATCACAACCTTAACCCCCTGGTCTTCCAGCATCTGGGTCAGCATTTCCAATTCCCTTTTACCAAAGGACTAGTCATTTGCCTTACTTGTAAGAAACTTTTGCTGTAAATTTCCCCCAAAAGCCTAATTTCAAATAAAAAACAAGAAAAAAAGTACTTTTATTGGTTGCACAACTGAAAGTATCACTTGAGTTACTCTTGATAGGACACCACAAAGCTGCACAGCAACTCAACAAGTGAGTAAGCAGTAAATATGCTGAGAAGATGAAGAAACTTCAGCACAGTGCTTCCTTGGCAAACGCACTTAGAAAATTCAGACTCTAGGGTCAAAACTTAGGAATCACAGCCAGGATGCAAATGTGTTTCTTAGACTTCGGCAATTAATCCTTTCACTTCAAAGAACAGGCTAACAAAAAATGGACTCAAACAAGATCCTATCCAGTATTACTGATGCTTACATGCCCTTCACATTCGGACTCTACATATATGTTCAGCATCTCATACATTCCCCCAAGAATGACTTAGGACAGGTGTAATTTCTTCCAGTCATGTACCGGAAAAAAAAGTTTTGATATTTCAAACTAACCTTGAACTAGGCTAATTATAATCCTGCTAAAATTATTTACATATTTACACACACACACACACACACACACACACACAGAGAGAGAGAGA